AATTTCCAACTATGTGTATACGAAGCTATTTCATATGCTTAATTGCTGTATATATGTAAAAATTAGTCTACTTTAGAGAATCGATAATTGATGCGGCATTATCCTTTGATGAGGGCTTACGAATAAAATATGACCTACTAAAGTATTCAAGCAAGTGGTGGTGCAGAGAACCATTAAATATAATCTTCTCAAGCAGAAGTATAGAGATTAAATAAATTAGCATATTATGTCAAAGAATTAGAGTATTACGCTTATTATATCTTATTTAAATAATTAATTACGTTGGATCTGTTCCTTTATTTTATTCTTTTTTATTCTGTTCTAATTAAATATGTAGTTTTCGAATTAATATATATCAAAATAAAGAAAACCGTTCTTATATTCAGACTAATAATAGAAGCATTGTTCAATCCGCGATTATGCCAGTTGTGAGGCAAATACCGGATTCAAAAACGGCAATGCGTTTCGTCTGCGCAAAGCGAGAATTTAATAGCCGATGAGACTATATGCTCTTATTCCTCCTATAACGTCGTGAACGTTCTATAAATTGTGGAAAAAGCGTCCTATTATATTCTCGTTGCTGGTGTGCTCGTTTTACTTATCGCCGGAGATGTATCTTGCATCCTTAAGCCGACGCGCAATAGGTTAAAGGCAATTTGTCACGGCACGCGTTATCGCCGTCGTAAACTTTCTTCTTTCATAGTAACTACGCGGAAGTGAGCATGTCTTTAAAACACGTTCGCTATATAAATTTAATTATTTATTTATTAGAAGATTTAAAGGCTCTCTCTCTCTCTCTCTCTCTCTTTTATGCCAAGGTATAAAAGATTACAATATGCATTCACTCTTCGGTAACAGCAGAATACAGGGTATAATTTTTTAAAATCTCGTATGATGCCTTATGCGTGAAAGAAAATTGAAAAAGAAGATCTAGATATTTTGTACGGAGAAAGATCGGTACGATGTTAAAGGATGCTCGAGAGGATTGAAGATACAGGATCGCTTCGATCGTTCTTGCAACGCCATGCCAGTGCAAGATGTAATCGACGGCGTAACGAAGTTGCCTTGAAATGACGACGCTATCGATGTAGGTGCTCATTCGAAGCGAAGCGATAATGGCGCAGCTCGGCTCGGCTCGGCTCGGCTCCACGTGGCGTGCGCGCCAGTCTCTAATAAATTGTAATTAGCGAGCCGGTAATTAATACAGAGCAATGCCAGCAGGGGGGCACAAAGCGTCGCGCAGTCCTCACGCCTCTATCTGCGATCGTCACTCCGGTCAACCAACCGACCCGGGGCTCGCCCGCTATTTTCCACACCCTCTGCATTTCCCTCTTTCTCTCTCTCTCTCTCTCTCTCTTTCTCTCTCTTTCGCCAATCCTTCCTTAATACTGGCGCTCTCTCGTGTGTGCAATGACCTCAGTGCTAATACGACGATTATACTAATAAAATTTCCGTCCACTTTACGACGCGGCCTCTATCTCGGCGAGACATTAGGAAGCGAGGAACCCCAGAAGAAGGCAAACATTCGCCCGCCTTTCACCCCCGCGTGAGCAAACAACGGCTCGTAGATCGAGTTCATCCTTCGCAGGATGCGAAAGTTCGGAGCGGAGAGAAGGCGCGGTAGTAGAAATTCCTGTTGGAACTCGAAACGATTAAAGGGGCCCTTTGAAGCGTCATATCGCGGGGCGGTGCCTTCTGGAAAATCAGCTCAGGGGTAAAACGGTGTATGACGATCTCCCCCATAGTTAATGACCTCGCGCCTAGTTTCAACGTAATTCATGTTCAATTTGATATTGTACGCGTGGATTATTAAGTAAACTCATTTATTTCGACGCTTGCTTGTTTATGCAGTATTTTGCAATTCCGTTATTTTCTATTCTCGTATAATCTTTAATATTTATTCGTGAATACGCGATGGTTCTGTGCCATTGCAAATTGAAAATGTCGCATCATTGATGTTTTTTTTTGCTAAAAAAAGATTTTAATAGAAAGTTATATATACCGCGCGGAGTATGTTTGACGTACTTTTTCGCTATAAAGTCGCTGGACAAGCAAGTTTCGTCTGGAGTCATTATCCTAGCAAATACCTCTTAACGAGAGAAAGAGATGCGCGGAGAAACCGAGTGAGTGCTCGCGTACGCTCCGTAAACTTTACAGAACTATGGGTGGCCACTTGTACTTAGAGCAAAGTTATGAAGTGTCATTAACCAACTGCATGTAACTTACTTAGTCCGGGTGCATCTCCAATCTGTTCATTACATGACTTTCTCTTGCTATACTCCTCACTTAATAAGCAGCTACGTTATTCCTGGTGCTAACGCAAGTCTTATCTCTTAATATTATAATGTAAATTCTTATAGTATAAATTGTTATGTCTTCCCGACCAGGGAATCCCATGAAGAGTTTTAGAAATTAGTTCACACATTTCTCACCTGGTATATACATAGCGGAGAATTAATGAAATCGTTATCTTTATTCAATGTAAATGCAATCGTTGATACGGTGAAATTATTAGATGTCTCCCCAGAGTATTTCTCTGTTACTTATTCACGTGAATTTCGATGAGCATATCCCGCGAAAAAGGCATTGAGGGAGTTATCCGCTGTGCACCGCATCGCTATTCCGCGACACCGCCGCTCCCGGAGGGGCAACAATAATTATTTCTAATTTCCAGTTATGCAAAAATGCGCGCGAAGCTTAAGTACCCCAGATAATAATATCGGTCTCTCTCTCACTCTCTCTCTCTCTCTCTCTCTCTCTCTCTCTCTCCTTCTCTCTCTCTCTCTCTCTCTGGGTAGTCCCGGAGGTAACGTGAATTTTTTTCTCGCAAATTATCTGCTCGGCCATCGAGAGTAAAAGCAATCTTTTGAAATATTTTTAATAAATCAAAATTATATAATCTTTCGTTCTTTTTCGTATTAATCTAATATGTTTTGAGTAATTAATTTTGATTTTTATATTTTGTGTCCATGTATAAAATATTGCGCGCGCGTTTTTGTATCCTTCAGAATATCTCTTATAGTACTAAAGAAAGATTGTATTCAATATTAAACAAACAATGATTTATAATTAGTATGCAAATCTGTAATCAAACTAAATAAATTTAACTACGTTCAATGCAAGTGTCCGATGAAAACTGTCATCCATACGTTCGCAAATTTTGAGAAAGTTATGAGAATGACATCATTGACTTACTAACAGTGTCTCGATAAAGAATAACAATTTTATACATATAATGTATGCAAACAAAGAAACCTCATTACGCTTACGCGATTTATAATTATATCGAAAAAATACATAAACGTTTTGAAATAATATGCGATAAAAACAGGACATATATGGATGATAGAAACTGTTTTGTTATCCATATAAGAATTGTTATTTTCATACAGATATATTATAATATTCACGTGGTTTATAGGTTAATCATTTTTTTCCTTGATTATGACATTATCTGAAAAATATTGCATTTTGTATTACTTTTTGATCTTCATGCCATTGCTTCATTTCTAAATTGTTATAACGCTTCAACTCGACGGATTTGAAGCAACAGGATTATAACGTCGCGCCAATTTGCACGCGCATTTACGATTTCTATGGCGTTTGCACTAATTGCCATTTCGTTATATGCGCATGAACGATATAACTTTCGATAATTTCCCTGCAACAGCTTTGGCATCGCGTAGTGCATGCATATTTTAACACGGGATCACATTATATTCACATAAAGCACAGCGCTATTCGAAGATTTGTCTATACATTGAGTTCTGTGTTTATAGCGGCACGTGGTTCGCATTAATTAGTAATCGGCGCGGAACCAACATTAAATCACGTTGGACTGAAATCACGCACGCAAATTCTTTGAGTTCGGTCAAACTTTGCGCTCCGTTAAAACGATACGGATTATCGAGAATACATTACAGTAAATTCCCGTGTAAGCATAGTGAGCCATGCAAGCATTCGATATACTGGCAAAACGCTTCTCGTAAAATTCGAGTGATCCCGTGGAAATAAAGTGCGCCGAATAGCGTTTCGTTTGTATTTCCATAAAAGACCTGGGATCTACGTATTTTTTGGTATCTTTTTTTTTTTTCGTTTTATCAGTAAATTCGCAATGCGCGAATACTTTTTCAGCGTCCAAACGATTACTTGAAGCTTACATTATTGACACGATTAAACGTGCGTATCGCAATGTAATATACGCAGTGCGTATCCATTACAATTTCCAATGATTTTAAGAAATTGAATAATTGCTTACAATAACAAGCTGTTGCTTGCATAGGAATAATTGTGGCAAAAATTAATTAGTAATCAAACGTTACAAATTATAATATCAGCAGCCTCATTAACTGTCATCGCACACGAGTAATCGCGCTTGTTAATATGTCGCGTTTCTATTATTGTACAAGTGTTTAGCGCAGTGGTACGTGAATCGAATGCGACCGTACCGTTAATCGCACGTGTATGTAATCTCCGTGCACATGCGCGCCCCAATGTTCAGGATCGTCACGACCAGTACAAACGATGTTTAGTCGCAGGAATATACTAATGGTATGTACATAGAAATATAGAGAAACGAATATACGCTGAGTATATTTACAATGAATTAACGGGTGCTTTAATGCAAACCCCCCCTTCCTTCCCCCTCTTGATCTACACCCCATTAGTTTAAACAGATGCCCCATACCATCACCGCGTACACATCTGCACATCTACATAATTGGCGCCGGAGCATGCACCAAATTAAACATTCGCCGGTGAAAACTGAACCGCGTCATATAACGGTATCCACGGGTTAGCGGAATGGATCATGTTACGATTCAATTGTCATTATGCTGCTCTTTTCATGGAGCACTAGCGGCGTTTGCGCTCGCACACGCATTTTATACTAATTCACGAAGAAATAAATACTGACGCGTTTAAAGGGGAAAACTTTTAGAGAGGCACGCATACACGTTCAAATCTATTAATAAAATTGAAGGGTTTGCTGCAACAATGGTCTACCCTACAATGTAGCCGAATATGTTATATCGATAAAAATGGACGGATTTTAGAGTTTATTTTCTTCATTTTTACAAAATGTAGGTTAGCTCATTGTTGCAGCAAGCCCTTCAATTAATTAACGCTATATCTTTGACTTGGAGTTTGGGAATTTAATTTTCTGAATACTATTAGAGCGTGTAAAGTATCGATTGAATTGTTACACTTACCCGAATATGTCTCGGTCGGCATTTGGTCACTTGGCACAGTGAAATTCCCTGACGCGTTCGGTGGACAACCATTTCGATTTTGTTGCGTGCGTAAAGTATGCGTCGCGTGTAAAGACGGTCCACGCGGCGGTACTTCCGGTGGCGCGGGTTCCGGAGGGGAATCCCTACCGGTATCTAGAAACGTAAAACATTATATTTCTTTCTATTGCACATTTTTTCTCACAGCACGAGTCGCGCTTTAATAAAAAGCGTGAATGAAATTTGACGAATCATATATTAAACAACAATAATATGCCAAACATTAATATACAGAACATTATATTGCGCGTGTGATGTAATATTCAGAGAAAATTGAATCGATTATACGAGAAATCAAATTATCTGGTAATATTTATTCTATAAAAAATGTTAGAAAATAAACTGCTGATCTTCTCGGAAAAAATCCTTGCCTAGACGTACAATTTGGATAATTTCTTTGATTTCTCAAATAACGGATTCATTTAATACGTCAATAAATTCAAAATATTCCGTGTTTATCTTGTGAATTATTGATTGAATGATTGTATCGGTGTAATTCCATCCATTTCATTGCGATATTGTTCTCTCTTACGTGGCATTCGTGAAATTCTAGTCTGAAACGCCACGAGCAATTAAGCGGCATCAATAATTAGGCATCCTCCTCGTAACGTTTTATGCATGCAAATTCAAAGAATCTATCTGCCATTACAGGACGAAATTGATTACCCATTACAGGCGAAGGAGTATACAAGGAAATACTGAATAATAGTTGAGTACCATAATTGAGATATTAGCGGCGTATATTGCAATTCCAGTGTCATTACCCATAAATGCACATTAAAAGCTGCGACAGCGACACGACACAATGCATTACGTGTCTCGCTTTGCACATGCGTACTTTCAAGTAACCCAAGCGTGTGTGTACGTCAATATACTATATAACGGACATATTTCTTGAGAATTTCGTAAATTCTTATGTTTGAAACATAAAGTAATTTTGTGGCGAGCTTCAATAAAGCAATACTAAAAATTTTCCATTTCTACCAGTACCCCTTTCACCATTGACCCTTCGGGGCTCAGCGTTATACGAGCGTTCCTGTAGTTAAGTTACTTCTAAAGTTGTTGAAACTTGAAAGGAACTCCACCAAAGAATAATTAAAGTTACCTAAACATAAAGAGCACAAAAGAGCGCCTACCAGGGCATGTCGAGAGCAACAAAAATATTTGAGTCTACCCGCGAAAAGTCCGTTTCTTGTACCAGAGGATCAGTATATAATTGATATAATTTAAAAACGAACAAATTCCAACGCTGTTAATTATTGAGCAAAATTAGAAGTTTATTATTAATTATAAACTTTACATCTTTTTCATCTCTGACACTTTATATCACTTGTACGGGCGCCGGTTATGGCGAATTAGCCGAAACAGCCGACGATGAACCGATACCACGTTGAGCATATATACATAATTGGAGCAATGTATAACCATTAAAGGTTGTTAATGTTACAGAGCACATTATTGTAAATCAAGTTTAACTGCAATACAGTGGTCTATCGCGCTTTCGTGAAGCTACGTAACTTGGTTGTGGTAACTCGGATGTGGGATAATGGAATTTCGGTCCCTGGTCCTGCGGATTAAAATCTATTAAGCGAGTCGTTATAACTTATAGATGTGTGTTGTTAATGTCAAGACAATTACTCGAGCCACACAATAAACAAGAGCTTAATGTCTCATAATTATCTCAACTCTTTGCATCGGCAGACCAGTAGCAAGTAATTCCGCTTAACAATTAACGAAAAAGAAGGTTAACATTTTCAGGCAACATTAATAACATTAAAAATATATGAGAAAATAATTGTTGAAAAGTCATAAAACAGTAATGGAATTTTCATGTTTTCCCACAATTATAAGTTTATCGTGTTGTGTTGTTTGTAATGATAATGGCGAGTACGTTTAGTATTGACATCAAATCTATTCAAGTCATTTGATCTTCCTACAGACTGCTTACATACCTGTGAGATAAATAGGCCTGGGTAGACCTGTGCGCCAGAAATGTGCAGAGAGAAAAGTGCATTAGTGCGGCGGGATCGGCATGTGCACATATGTGAAGATCCAAAAAAGAGAATAACATCATGCAGATGGGATGTATGATGAATCATTTCAAATTATTAATAATTATTATACGATAGATTTACGTTAAAACAAATTTGCACGAAAGCGAACTACATATCGTCGAGCGAGTAATCAGTTTTCCAAATTTGTATCTGTGTATCATCAAAATTCTGTGGATTAGAATTCTGTAATATTATCTGTAATATTAATCTGCAATATTAATCTGTAACGTTAGAATTATTGTGGGATAATTGATTTAAAAAAAATAGCTAATGGATAATATTAATTTCTCATCGACAGTTAGGAATTTTCCGTTGATTAATCGATGCAAAGTGAGAGATAGAACATACAGTAGGTGCTGTTTCGTGATTAATTTAATAATTTTACGAGAAAAACGAGATCACACAAATGAATTTTAGAGTGTAATTGAATCGGATGACACCGAAGGCTAATGCAATTGTCATGCATGTGAATGATAATGATATATCTGCAATATTCACTTCCTGACAACGCTTTGCGCCGAGGCTGTATTCTAGATTTTCGACAATTTTCACCGTTATCACTTTACCGGATCGACGTCTAATTAATCGCAGAAATTATAAACGCGATAGAGAAATTATTTCTGCGAAGTCACTTGGGAGCCCGGCATCGATATTTTCCGTAATAAGCAGTAATAATCGCTTAATTAAACCGGACCGTGAAATGCGCAATGCGTAGCTGTCAGCGCCAGCCGCGTCCGTCGCGTATCTCGGACAACTTTACCGTCGAAATATACATTTGTTCCAGTTATTGAACAATTTGCCGGCATCGTTCGAGTGCTCGGAACACCTGTAACGCTCAATTACAAAGTCGATATCGCACCGGCACAATGGGCGG